CCCCCCCACCCAACCAACAACCGAAGATCCGCGAGCTCACTGGGGTGGCGGTGTCCACCGCCGCCCTGTGGGACGTCCAGGTGCGCCTGCCTGCCCACGCCGCATGGGGGGACGCCGAGGGCTGTCGCGCGTACGCGGGATGCGCGCGACGGTACGGGGCGGGGCCGCAAGAGGGTGTGCGGGCCGGCGGCAGCGCCTGCCGCTGCGGCTCTCGCAGGGCTTCGGGGCTGCATTTGCTCGGCAGGGGCGGGGCGTAGTGGCGCCCTTGGTGCACTATAAAAGCAGGGGCGACCCCCCCCCCCCACACACACACACACGCACATATCACACACACACACACACACGCACGCACACATACATTCACACACACACGCACACACACACACACAACAATGTCTCCTCAACACAAGCACCCCCCCCCTTCACCCCAACAGGTGAAGCGCATCCACGAGTACAAGCGGCAGCTGCTCAACGTGCTGTCCATCATCCAGCGCTACGACGCCATCAAGAAGGCCTCACCGGAGGAGAGGAAGAAGGTGGGGGGACACCGAGGGGGCTGGGGAAACGGAGCTTGGGGTAGCGGAGCTTGGGGCAGCGGAGCTTGGGGCAGCGGAGCTTGGGGTAGCGGAGCTTGGGGTAGCGGAGCTTGAATCTGGTTTGGGGGCTGGGGGGCGGAGGAGGAGGGCCTTTGAGGCTGGGGGCGAGCCGAGGGTAGCCCAGGTCCTGCGACGCGACACTCTTGAGCAATGAATACAGCACACATAGGTATGTGCAAATGGGGATTGTGCCTGGGGTGGTTTGCCGCTGTTGCCGTCCCCCGTTTTGCACCATTATCTCAATACACCCCCACCCCACCCCGCCGCGCCGCGCCGCAGTTTGTGCCGCGCGTGTGCATCATCGGCGGCAAGGCGGCGCCCGGCTACGAGATGGCCAAGCGCATCATCAAGCTCGCCTGCGCGGTCGGGGAGAAGGTGCGGCCCCTGGGGGAAGGCAGGGGGGCCTTTGACGGTCTGCATTTACTCACGCAAGTGTGCGCGGCTGCGCCGTTGGCCGCCCGTCGGCGCCGGTTGGATGCTACAGATGTTGCCACTTGCACATGCTGCGCCCCCCTCTACACACACACAACTCTCTCTCTCTCTCTCTCTCTCTCTCTCTCACACACACACGCACACGCACATGCACATGCACATGCACATGCGCATGCGCATGGATTCGCACGCACATGCACACGCGTCTGCATTCCCCTCCCCTCACACCCCTCCAAACTCATGCTCCTCCCCTCTCCTCACCCCTCCCCCCCCCCCC